CTTGGTTGTCTGCGTATATCCGAATATCCCTATTTGGGCCTAGTCTCGTCGCATCTTCGAATGCTAGGGCAATGCCTTCTAGCTCTCTATTATAGACGATTTGGTGCGGTCCTATATTTCGGGCTAGTCGTATAAAAGGGGGACTAGCGCATTTGTAGCCCGCTAGTCCCACTCTAATTCTAGTGCTTTTAGGCATTTGCGACCCGTCTGAGTAGTATAACACCTGATTTGGCGATTGTGACCGTATTTGCCGGCGGTGTATCGTGGCAGTTTCCTCTTTTAGCAATTTGGCGATTCGTGTGTCCTAGGGGATAGAGCGGTTCTAAGGGGCAAAGTAGAAGTGGTATATAGGTTTGATTTTACTGCTAAGTAGGGGTGTGATAGTCCTAGCAATTGTCTGAAGTCCGTATCCTGAGTAGCTAGATTTGGCAATTTAGCGATTTACTAGATAGTCTAGACTTAGCTTAGCTAGCCGAAAAGCGTATTTGCGTGTAGCTATGTCTAGCCGTATTGCGGGCGGTGGGAGGCTAGCTTCCACCTCTATGGCCTGAATTGGACTAGTCTGAAAAGTGCCTAGGATTTTGCGTAGTGCCAAATTTTAGAAGTGCTATAGGTGGTCTTTTGCGTATGCTTAGCCTTGCCACCAAATCGGTGATGTATAGTCGGATATGCTAGTAATATAAGCTATATATAGCTGTCTAAAAGTGGTGGGACTAAGCCCTTGTTTGCTATTAGCTAGCCTAGATATACGTCTGAATATAGACTTAGCCTTAGCAGTGTAGATAGTGATATGCTCCTTAAATTGTAATAGAGCATTAAAGTAAATGCCAAGCCACTTAACTGTCTGCTTTAGGAGGACTATAGTCCTATCTAGGAGTATAAGGGGCGCTAGCTTAGCGCGTTCGCCTATGCTAAAGTGAATCAGTTTAGACTTTTTTGGGTTGAATTGGATTCCGTTTTTACTAGCTAGCTGAAATAGCTCTTTAGCTACTAGCTGCAGTATCTTAACGTTTTTGCAGGGGCTAGTCGATATAAAAGAGAGAGTAATATTATTTATATAAGAGATAAATTTAACTGCATATAACCTAAATAGGCCTTGTATATAGATTAAGAAAAGGATAGGCGAAATAGGGCTTCCTTATAGGATTCCGGTCTAAATAGGCTGGTTTTCATCTAATTATCCGTTAAATAGAAGCTTAAGTGACCGCCCGCTTATAAAGGATAAGACCCACTTAATAACCGAATTAGGAAAGGCTAAATCCTTAAGAATTGTAAGTAGCTAGTTCTTAGACACGTGGTTATATACCCCTTTTACGTCTAGTAGAAGCGTACTAGTAATTTTGTTTCATAGCCGATTTATATGGATATAATCCGCTAGCATAGCGCCTGCGTCTATAGCTAACTTTTTAAGTCAGCCACTGATTTAGCTAGGATGTAGCAGATTTGGTGTGGTTTCAGCTAAGTAAGCTAGTCGCTTAGCTAGGATCTTTTCACTCACTTTACCTAAGCAATTTAGAAGTGAAATCGGCTAATATGTGCTAGGCTGTTTATAGTCTAGCTTATTGTTTTTTTGTAGTATAGCGCAATTCGCTTAGCGCTAGCACTTCAGATGATAGCTAGTGTTTACTAGCGTCTTAAAAAGGAGTGAAATCTGGGAAGGGCATGCTAAATATACGTGGGTAATAATAGTCTAGGTAATATAGTCCGGGCTAGGGCTAGTGGATTTGATTTTACTAGAACAGGCTTGTTTTACTTTGTCTGGTGCTAGCTTTGGCTATTGCCACTAGTCTGAGGCGGTGTATAACGTCTAATTCAGGCTAGCTGTTTTAGGAGGTGGAGGGAAGAGCATCTAGCGGAAGAGGTCGCATTTAGTAGTGAATGTGGTTGCAGATTGGGTGGTAGAAAGCTTTAGATTTAGGACTAGTTCTAACCGCCTTGACTTTGTATAGGCTAGGGCTTTAAAAATCGATTTAGAATCCTCTTTCTCTAAGAACTAGTTCCAGTGATCCTTTTTTGCTGTTTTAATAGCCTGGAAGTATATATTGCGGGCGCTAGTATAGCGCTTATTTAATTGGCTGGAAAACGCTCGCTTAGAGGCCTCTCTAGCCCGATTCATGTCGCGTTAAAGTGATTTTAGTGAATCGTTCCACTAAGGCTTGGCGTGTGGCGCTAACCGGATTTGGGGTATCGCATCGTGTGCAGCGTATAAAATGGCGCTAGTATAACGTTCCGCCATATTATCTAGACGGTCTAGGGTTGCTTCGTAACTGCGTTTTGCATTAATTTATTCTAAGCTTTTTAAGCTTGAATTAGAGCTTAAAATATAGCTATAGGCCTGTAGCTCGTTTTGGAGCGGTGATAGCTGGCAGAAAAGTTTTTCCCTAAATTTAGTCCAATCTGCCCATTTTATGTCAAAACGGGTGGTTTATGGATCTGCTAGTCCTATTCGGGAACTGTTAATAGTGAATGTGATCCTAAAATGGTCCGAGCCTATATCATCCACTATAGCCTAGTCCTAAATGTGATTGGCTATAGATTAATGCGCTAGCGTAAGGTCGATATTTGTCGGCCTAGCTATATGCAGACGATGGAAGGTGCTAATACCAGGGGTATTTAAGAGGGCTAAATCGTGGTGGTCGATCCAGTCTACTAGCGTATTGCCTTCTTTATCACGTGCCTCGTATAGGGGGTCCCACCACGGGTTATAGGTATTAAAGTCTCTGCAAAAGACCAAATTAAGAGGCAGTAAGAGCTGCTATAGGCATCAGGCTAGTATACAGGTGTCCGAATTAGGTAATTAGTGCTTTTTGTTATAAATATTATAAATCTTAATCACGTGATCTTAATCTATAACGTCTAGGGCTTAGAAGTCTAAATCGTTTAGCAAATCCGAGGCTAGGATAACTCTAGGGCGGTATAACCTAGCAATATAAGCTATTATGCATGGTGTGATATCTAGGCTAGGCCTATTTAGGAAGAGTTAGGTGAATGAGGGGTAGGAAATCGATTATATTTTATCTGCATCATATATAATAAAGGGCTCTTAAACTAGTATAATATCTATATCTAGCTCAATTGCTACTTATAGCGCGGATTCCGTATTATAGGCAGCTAAATTTAGATTTACTTAGAGGATTTTAGTGCTAGCGTCTATTATAGAGAGGACATGGGAGCCTTTAAGTAGATGCTCTAATAGACTTTATATAGAGCAGAGCTAGCCGCATATGGACCTCTATAATTAGCGCATTTATATGTTAGGTGATTATATCTACCCTTAGCATTACATATAGAGCATATATGCTATTTCATCTAATGTTTTTCCCCGTATAGCTAGCACTTAGCCTCTTTATAGTAGTAGTGTAATAAGTGTCTATAAGCTTAATACCTAATATATTAGGCGGTAGGACATGTCATATAGTGTTTTTCGTATTATATAGAAATGCTAGCTATATATAGCCTATTTCGGACGGCTACGCTAGCCTCTTCAGGCGTAGCAAATGCAATTGCCACGGATCCAGCTATCTGTTTTAGGCGATTTTCGGCTGATGTAATCTAGTATAGCTATCCTAAAGGGGTTAGACCCTTATTAAAAGTCCGTATTTCATCCTTAACTAGCTCTATGCCTTCCGGATAGTTGAAAATAGAAGTGGGGATCCCGTGGGCGACGATTTTATGCCATGTGACATCTTTCTAGGCGGTGTAGCCTGGCATTAAATGCATCTAGATGTCAGATTTGGCGAGTATTTATTTATTTATTTATTTATTCCATTAACGTCCTGTGTGAGTCTAAGACTATGTAGGACGGCGCTAGCCTAACGCTAGAGCGGTCAAGTGAGTGTGTTTATATAGATAATGCCATATGTGTCCGGTTGGAATCTGGGGAACAAGTCTCAAAGAAGTGAAAAACAGTAAAACACCCTTAAATAAGTCCCCCTCAAATAGCCCTTCCTATGACCGCTTTCCCCTTATATCACCTACATCCCAAGCTTATCCACCACACGTCCCACAAACCCCATATGCCCATAGACACCGCCCTAGGTTCTAGTCTTATCAGGCAGGACCGTCGCCTTACTACAGCTATAGACCGCCTAAGCCGTAGCTGCAGAAGGTGCCTATAAGGGTAGAGTCACGAATTCTCCCTATCTAGACCGCCTGCCATACCTCCTGCATCCCTAAAAGCAACTGAATATGTATATGCGTGGTTGTGTTGCTGCGTGTAAACCCCGGTCGTGGGTGCCTGAAATATAAGGCTCAAGAAGTAAAAAACTTCACTAAAAGTGGGATTCGAAGTAAAGCCGTAAAGAGAGGTGAAATCGCTAGTGTTATACTATAGGAAAGGAGCGTACAAGTGAAATTCGATGTCCAGGCTATCCGAAAGAGTGTATTGCCAGCTTCTGCCGCTTAAAGAGGACAGATAGGGCTCCGAACCACTATATGCCTTCCGCCCCTATCAAATAGGCCTCCATCGACCGCTTCCACCCTTATGCCCTAGCTTCCATCATCTGATAATCGAGGGAGAGAGTAAATTCGTATATGCGAGTAAAATTCGATGTCTAGGCTGTCCGAAACAGGTATTGCCAGCTGCCGCCGCTCAAAGGGACATATAGGGCTCCGAACCACTATACGCCTCTGCCCTGTATTAAATAGGCCTCCATCGACCGCTTTCGTCCAATAGTCGTATAGTAGAGAGAGAGAGAGAGAGAGAGGGCGGTCTGCTGCGTATAATATCACTATTAATAGTCGAACGTGTCCTCAAATATCGTCTGATCGGTCCGTAACCCATCCTCCACTTCCACCGCCCTTAGTAGACCGTCCGCCACTGCTAAAAGCAGTGAAATAAGGTAAACCAAGGCCGATTTCACTGTTTCCAGACGACCCGAAAGGCCGAATGCATTACTATCAACGTCGTATACCGCCTCATAACGTCTTATACAGGCCGAAAACCCCTCCCTCACCGCCTACCACTACCACCACCACCACCATGCCGCAATGCCCTCTTCCACCGCCCTCAATGCATCTCCCGTCGGCTCTAGAATAGTATTGCAATCCTAGGTTCGTAGCCAGCGCCTCGTACAGGTGGGAATCCGTCTTCGCTGGCCAGATTTGGCGAGTAGGAAGTTAGCTAAGTAAGCCTCTATAGTTATAACCACTAGATTGGCCTAAAGGGACTTAGACACTAAAAGCACTATAGGGTCTTTTACTCCTTTGCTAGTAAAAGCTCTATTTAGAGCATTGCGGGCGGTGAGAGGCTGAAAATTGTTGTTTTAGACTAGTATCCTTAATTAGGATCACGCGGCGGCTAGTAAGAGGCTTCTTTATGGCTAGCTTTGGCGGTAAGGACTTTTTAGTAGAATTAACTAAAATCCAGTCCGAATCAGGGTTAGCAGACTTAGCTGCGGCTGCATATATCTGATTTTAAGTGGTTTTCAGCTGGGGAGCGATTTTCGGCCCGTTTAGGCGGTCTAAGACAGCTGCGCTAGGCCCTTTCAGGTTGACTTGCAGGCGGGTAGTCGGTTTTAGGGCAATTTGCTAGGCGGTAGCTTCTAGCTTTTAACTAGCGGATTCTATATGCGTGATCTTATTAGCTAAAATAGCTGAAACCTTCTTAATAGAGCCTTTTTTAAGGTATTTATAGAAGATTTCAATTAAATCAAGTATTTGGTCCTATTTTAGGCGGTCTAGTTCAGCAGCCGCGGCTTTAACTAGGAGGTCACGTGCCTCTATAATAGCCTTATTCGAGGGTGAATCAATAGTAAATTATATATTTTTAGCCGGATTAGGAAGCGGTGTAGCTGGCCTCTTCTTTATAGTAAAGGTAAAAGCGTTGCTATAGTAACTATTTTGTTATTTATTAACATTTTAGTAGCTACAGCTAGCAGAAGGGGCTATATATGTAAAAACAGACGCGTCTAACGCGACTTTTAGCTAGTCGCTATCCTACGCCGGGCCTTCTAGTTCGTCTATACTAAATAATATATTATATGTAGTATCTATTACTATATTATTATCTTCTGCTGCTA